TGTCCAGTCAGAACTCCTTACAGAAACTTGAGGGCTATAACTGCATGTATTTCTTCAATTTTTTTTTTTACTACAATTGTCAGTTTACATCCTTAATGACAATTGCTTTCGTACAGTACTAAACTATGCCAACATTGGGACTAAGTGTTAGTCCTGAACTCTTCCCAGGGAAAATATGAATATGAACTAAGTATTAAATATTATGCATTCTTTTTTTTTTTTTGGTGGTACTGGGGTTTGAACTCACGGCTTCACACTTGTAAAACAAGTGCTCTACCACTTGAGCCACACCTCCAGTCCAAATATTAGGAATTCATGCTGGGTACCAATGGCTCACTTCTGTAGCTACTCGGGAGGCTGAGATCAAAAGGATTGCAGTTCGAGCCAGCCTGGGCAATTAGTTTGCAAGATGCCATCTTCAAAATAACCAGAGCAAAATGGACTGGAGGTATGGCTCAAGTGGTAGAGTGTTTTTTGCAAGCATGAAGCCCTAAGTTCAAACCCCAGTTCTGCCAAAAACAAACAAACAAAACACCCCCACAAATATTAGGTATTCTTGTCAATGTTCCTAAGGTGTAAGAGTGCTAGTAATAGAGAAAAGAGCATTTTCAAAATGGATGCTTAGCCAGGTGCTGGTGGCTCATGCCTGTAATCCTAGCTACTTGGGAGGCTGAGATCAAAAATATCTTGGTTTGAGGCCAGTCAGGGCAAGTACTTCATAAGTAAAATAACCAGGGCATATCAAGGCAAAATCCCACTGAACAATGAACAGACATTAAAACATGCAGGACAGGAATGTATCACAGGTCATATCAAGAGGAAGGTACTAGCAGGAGGGGGAGGGTTAAGTGAAGAGGGTGAAGGAGGGTGAATATAGTAGAGGTACTTTCTATACATGTATGAATATGGAGCGTTGAAACCTGCTGAAGTCATTTCAAGAAGGGAAGTGGGGAGCTGGGCACTGGGGGCTCACACCTGTAATCCTAGTTACTCAGGAGACAAGATCAGGAAGATCATGGTTCTAAGCCAGCCCAGGAAGGAAAAAAAAAGTGAGGCCCTATTTCAAAAACACCTAATACAAAAAAAAAGGACTGTCTGATTAGCAAGAGGAGGCCTGAGTTCAAGTCCCAGTACTGCCAAAAGAAAGAAAGAAAGAAGAGTAGAAAAAAGAGGGAGATTAGTGAAACATAAACCAAACTGGGGTTATATGTCTATATGGAAATGCCACTACAAAATTCCCCGTATAAGTATCATACACTAATAAAAACTTTTAAAAAAATAACCAAGCTGGCTGCCAGCGTGGCTCAAATAGTACAGTGCCTACCTAGCAAGCATGAGGGCCTGAGTTCAATCCCCAGTACTACAAAAAAAAAGCTTGTAAAAATAACCATGCCAGGCACCAGTGGCTCACACCTAAGTACTTGGGAGGCTGAGATTGGGAGGATCATGGTTCAAGGCCAGCCCTGGCAAACAGTTTGAGAGACCCCATCTCCAAAATAACCACAGCAAAGTGGCTCAAGTGGTAGAGCACCTGCTTTGCAAGTGTGAAGTCCTGGGTTCAAATCCCAGTCCCATCAAGGAAAAAAAGCCAATGAAGTCCCCAGGATATGATTGGTGTGAGTTTTCTCAATTTAAGATTAAAAATTTTAAATATACAGTAAAGCTGAAAACTTTATCATTACTATACATTATCACTTACACATTCACCACCTAGATTTAATATAATATTTATATTTGCATATCTGTATATTTGTTACTAGAATGCATTTGAAAGCAGAGGATATGCTGTTTCATTCTGAAATATTTAAGCATGCTTTTTTTAATGGCAGGACTGGGGTTTGAACTCATGGCTTCAAGCTTGCAAAGCAGCCACTCTACTGCTTCAGTCACATCTTCAGTCCACTTTGCTGTGGTTATTTTGGAGTTGGTGGTCTCATAAAGTATTTGCCTGGCTGGTCTTGAACCATGATCCTCCCAATCTCAGCCTTGCAAGTAGTGAGGACTACAAGCACGAGCCATCAGTGCTCAGTTCATCGGCTTTGATATAAGCTTATTCCCAAGTCCCAATCAGTAATGTTGTTTTTCAAACCTCAAACCTAGTAAATTTTTTTTTGCAGTACTGGAGCTTGAACTCAGGACCTGCACCTTGGGCCACTCCACCAGCCCTGTTGTCTTGTTGGGGATTTTTGTGAACTATTTGCCTGGGCTGGCTTTGAACTGCAGTCCTCCTGGTCTCTTGACTCCTGAGTAACCAGGATTACAGACATGAGCCACCAGCACCCAGCCTTAGTAAATTTTAATAAAATCAGAATGACTATATACTGTGGTATGTTTCCCCAAAAGTCATACACAGATACTTACTGAACAACGTGGCTGTTTTGACATAGGGCCTTGAGAAGTGATTGCATCATGAGAGCTGTGCCCCCCTAAGAAAGGCATTAATGCCCCTTACGTGAGGATTGAGACAGGTGCTTGGCCCTTCAGCTCCTTCCACCATCTGAGGACACAACACTCATTCCCGCTGGAGGGCATAGCAACAAGGTGCCAGGTCACAGATTTTGGAATTCTCAGGTTCCAGAAGTGGAAAAAATATTTATAAACTACCCACCTAAGGGGCTGGGCGGGATACAGCTCAGTGGTAGACAGCCTGTCCAGCATGGGTTCAATTCCTTGCATGGCAATAATTTTTAAAAACCCACACATGCATTCCCAGCATGATGAGATGCAGCCAGAGGTCCTTACCAAAAACCTGCATCATGCTCTTTGAGCTTCAGCACCTCACTGTACTAGAGCTCAATAAGGCTCTCTTCCTAACTAGCTAACTAGCCTAAGGTATTCTGTTACAGCAGCAGGAATGGCTTGACAGAGCAGAATCTGCTTCTTGTTAACTAGCTTTGTGGTGAAGTGAGGGTTTGACACCGCGTCTTTTGCCGTGTGACAGTGTTTGCGGATGCTTGTCTGCTCTTTCAAGCGATGCGGTGAGCCTCACAACGTTTCACGGGCCGGCCCCTCCAGGGTTTGCTGCTGACTGCTCTGAACAGCAACATGCTGTCCTCCAGGACTGAGAATGGCTGCCCAGCAGAATGCCTGTCCAGGTTTTACAGCAGCATGGGTTTTTGTTTTGTTTTTTTACATTTACTTACACGTGTAAGCATTATTTGGGCCACCTCCTCCCTCCCTCCAAAATGAGGTTTTTTAAATAAGAAATTCCCTAGTGTACCTTTTGTGTGAAGCACTGGAGTCTGAACTCAGGGCCTCTCACTTGCTAGGCAGGTGCCCTACCACCACTTGAGCCACTCCACCAGTCTACTACTTACTTTTTGAAGCACCTTTTAATCACCTTGATAGTTTCCAGTTACAAGTACCTAATTATATTTGACAGATGTTTAGGTGACAGCACCATGTTCCTCTTGCCATCTAGCACAAGCCTGGTCCAAACCCCAGGCTGGGCTGAGTTGTGGGCACTAAGTCCAAACCCCAGTACCACCAAACCCCCCAAAACTCCAGGCTGCCTTCTGTTTGTTCTTTCTGTTCCATTGGCTGTTTCATCTAGCACACTTAATTGCCTATCTGAAAAAAACAGCCAGAGTCAGGTATAGTAGCTCATACATGTAATCTCAACTACTCAGCAGGCAGAGGTATACCCCATTCCAACAAATAAATCAGGTGTGGTGGTACAAGTCTGTAATCTCAGCTATGTGGGAGACCATGTAAGTGACTGCGGTCTAAGGTTCACCCTGGGCCAAGAAAACATAAAACAGTACCTGAAAAATACTAAAACAAAAAGGGCCGGGGTGTGGATCAAGTAGTAGAGTGCATGCCTAGCAAGCGCAAAGCCCGTAGCAAGGCACTGGTGGCTCACACCTGTAATCTAACTACTCAGGAGACAGAGATCAGGAGCATCGTGGTTCTAAGCCAGCCTAGTCAAATAGTTCTGTGAGACCCAATCTCAAAAAACCCTTCACAAAAGTAGGGTTGGGTGGAGTGGCTCAAGGTGAAGGCCCTGAATTCAAGCCCAGTACTGCCAAAAGAACAAAACAAAACAAAAGGTTCCCCAGGAGTAAGCAATTTGATTTGGTTTCAGAGTCTAATACAGATTCAGTTAGCATGCTAGCAAACTTTTGCATTAATCTCCGTGACACAAGTTGAACTTGGTCATCGGCCCAATGTAAACGCTAACATTTACTGGAGCATATTTATGGGACACCCCTAGGCTCTTCATAAATTTCTTATTCAATCTCTTAAAAAAATCCATGATAGATTGTGTTATTATCTACATCTTATGATTGAGAACACTGGTAAAGATCAAAAAATGAAGTTGTCCAAGAAAAAAAGATTATTTCCTCTCAACACTGAGGAAATTTTTTGGAAACTGTTATTTCAGAAATTGAAAGAATTTATAAAAAAAAATACGTATGCTTTAGCAGTGTCCTGGCAGCTCATACCTATTTAATCCTAGCTACTTAGAAGGCTGAAATGGAGAAGTTCCAGGCCAGCCAGAGGAAAAAATTTTTGCAAGACCCCATCTCAACAACAGCAAAAAAAGCTGGGCATGGTGGCATATGCCCATTATTCCAGTGATGGTGGGGAGTTTCAAATAGGAAAATCAAGGTCCAGGCCTGCCTGGGCAAAAAGCAAGACCTTATCTCCAAAATAACCAGGGTTAAAAAGGCTAGAGGTGTCGCTCAAGTGGCAGAGCATCTGCCTAGCAGACTCGAAGTCCCGAGATGAAACACCAATACCACACATAAAATAGAAGGTGGCAGACATAAAACTGTCTTGACCTTTTTTTTTTGGTCTGACTAAGATTTGAACTCAGGGCTTCCTGATTACAAAGCAAGTTTTCTACTGCTTGAGCCACAACTCCAGTCTATTTTGTTCTGTTTTTTTATTATTATTGTTGTTTTTGGCAGCGCTGGGTTTGAACTCAAGACCTCACGCTTGCTAGGTAGGGTTCTGCCAGCCCTGCTCTGATTATTTTGGAGATGGGATCTCTCACAAACTATTTGCTGGGCTGGCATTAAAACCACAATCCTCCCGATCTCAGACTCCCAATTAAATAGGATTATAGGATCATGAATTCACATCCATTGTGTCAGAAAGAAAGAACTAGGCTGAAGACATAACTCAGTGGAAGAGCACTTGCCTATACACGTGAGGCCCTGGGTTCTACCTCAGTACTAAAAAACTTAATAGATAAAATAAACAGAAAGCTAGACTGTTTAGGCATCAGCATCTCCCCTACCTAGCCTCAAGCAGTTGCTCAGGAAAGGGCACATTCCTCCTTCCACATCACTTCCACTATAGAAGTGGAAGTTGCTAAGTAGCAAGCCAGGGTATAGATTAAATGCCCCAAGAAACTGTATAGACCTTCAAGCCTGGCCTATGGAGGAGAAAAAAAAAATCTTCATTTGAGTGACAAGTGCTTCAGGGCCAATCCAAATCCACCCTGGGTGACAGCTCAAGAAAAAAGGTCTGTCTCAAGGCTAAGGGCCACAACATGGAAAGGTCATCCCCCAGTGTACCTGCTTCCCATGCTGGGCTTCCTTCCTATCTCCTGAGTAAGGCACAGTGATGTCAAAGCTCTCTTAGTCATTAGTACACTTGCCCTTTCTTAAGAATTTCACACAATGACACTGGTTTGGTTTTGCAAATGCTCTTTCCCAATAACATGTTCTATGTTCTCGTTTAGCTTCAAAAACTACAAAGACATTGAAATTAAAATATGAAATTAGAGATAAAAAATAACATGGAGTCCACAAACCAGAGTGTGAGGTAGTCAACAGCATGTCTCACCCATCACCCTGCCTCACCCTTCCCAGTAGTGGCATGCCTCAAGCAGCTACTGCAAGGCCACAAAATTACATGGTCATCTACAACAAACTGGGCTATGTTCTCCAAAAGAAGCCACTGTCTTCTGCAATAGAAGTTCTGTGCAAGGCAGACCCAAGGAGAAGAGTGGCATCTGGAGATTAATACTGAAAGCTGCGCTTTGTCTGGATATCATCAAGAATCTGCTGCAGCTCCTCATCTTCAAACCGCCCCTCCAGGCTGCAAGAAGAGCAGAAGACAGGTGACTTAGCAAACAGCAATTTTCCCACACTCACCATTGAGGTACACTCATCTCCAAGCACCACTTACCCAGAGCTCTACCACCTTTACATTTCAACTGTTCTCTTCTGCCTTTCCTTCACAAAAGCATTGCAAAGTGTTCCAAATATATGAAAGATTTAAAGTTAGCCCTACTTGATTTAGATTTCTTTAATAAACACAGCAAGAACAAATGATGGCCAAGCCCAATATTCTCTTCTCTGGCTAGAAGTAACCACTGTCCTAAATTTGGCATTTATTATTCCCACACATATTTTTATACTTACTGTACATATACTGTATGTATCCATAAGCATCTTATGCTTTTAAAGTTTATGTTTTTTAAGCTTTATAAGAAATGATACCACACTGTATGTATTCTGTAATTTTTTTCACTCAAAAATCATTTTGGCATCTGCTGATATTCCATGATGCTCTAGTTGATTCATTTTTTTTCACTGCTGTATAATAAATATTGTACAATATCCTTTCACTTGTTGACTGACCCATGGCTGTGCATTTCCTCTATCAGTAACACTGTAGCAACGCACTGGATACAAGTCTGCTTTGCAAACTTGCATGAGTGCCTGTAGGACAATGGGGAGTATTCGTATTTAACTTTTTAGATATGTCAAAGTGCTCTCCAAAGTGATTATATTAATCTTCACTGCTACCATCAATGTATAATGTATGAGTCCCAACTGTTCCTTTTTTTTTTTTTTGAGGAGCTGAGAATCAAACCTAGGGCCTCGTGCATGCTAGGCAAGAACTCTACAACTGAGGTACATCACCAGACCCCTGTTCTACATTTGCTATCATTCAAGGTGTAATAAAGTTATCATTTGCTGGTAAATGGATGGAATTGGAGAACATCATTCTGAGTGAGGTTAGCCTGGCCCAAAAGACCAAAAATCGTATGTTCTCCCTCATATGTGGACATTAGATCAAGGGCAAACACAACAAGGGGATTGGACTATGAGCACATGATAAAAGCGAGAGCACACAAGGGAGGGGTGAGGATAGGCAAGACACCTAAAAAATTAGCTAGCATTTGTTGCCCTCAACGCAGAGAAACTAAAGCAGATACCTTAAAAGCAACTGAGGCCAATAGGAAAAGGGGAACAGGTACTAGAGAAAAGGTTAGTTCAAGAAGAATTAACCTAGAAGGTAACACCCATGCACAGGAAATCAATGTGAGTCAATGCCCTGTATAGCTATCCTTATCTCAACCAGCAAAAACCCTTGTTCCTTCCTATTATTGCTTATACTCTCTCTACAACAAAATTAGAAATAAGGGCAAAATAGTTTCTGCTGGATAGTGGGAGGGGGGAGAGAGAGGGGGCGGAGTGGGTGGTAAGAGAGGGGGTGGGGGCGGGGGGAGAAATGAACCAAGCCTTGTATGCACATATGAATAATAAAAGAAAAAGGAAAAAAAAAATTAAAAAAAAAAAAAGGTGTAATAAAGCCATCATTCTCATACACTGTTAAAAAAGGCATTCTTATTCTATGTTGGCACCGTATCTATCCCGATATTAAATGCACACCTTTTAGGCACAGCAACACTCTTGTAGAAATTTAGCCAATACATACAGAGCTTACCACAATTGGTACTAACCTTGGGATCAGAGCCTTTGACTCCTCAGCAGTCTCTGGGCAAAGGTTGGCCAAACAAGCCAACTCAAACTTATGTAGCTTCTTCTGAAGAAGCAAGCTGATAGTAGGGGAGAATAAAAAACAAAAACAAAAAAATATCAAAGAATGGTCAATAGGAAAAAGAAGACCAAATGTAGCTAGCTTCGTTTGTTAAGTTTATGTCAAAACACATGGAGTTGGATATCCCATGGTATTCGGTATTCTGACATGGAGATTACTCTTTCAAATTTATCTAAAATAAATAAATACAGTACACCTTACTTTGTACAAATCTATGTGTAAATTGCATGTTCTTTTAAGAGGCAGAGGCAGGAAAAAGTGCCCAAAGGGAATTGGATAAATTTTATCTGAGGGGGGTGGTGCTGGGGATTAGACATGCTAAGCAAGTGCTCTACCACAGAGGTATACTCCTAGCCCCCAATTTTTAAATTTCTTGGTTTTTTGGCAATACTGGGGTTTGAATTCAGGGCCTCACTTGCTAGGCAGGTGCTGTTCAAGATAGGGTCTCACACACTATTTACCTGGGCTAGCTTTGAACTGTGATCCTCCTGATCTCTGCCTCTAGAGTAGCTAGGATTATAGGTGTGAACCACCCTGGCTCCATATTTCTTTTTTTCAGTACTGGACTTTAACTCAGGGCCTTCACCTGGAGCCGCCCCTCCAGCCCTATTTTCGTGAAGGGCTTTTCAAGATAGGGTCTCGCGGAACTATTTTCCCAGGCTGGCTACGAATCACGATCTTTCTGATCTCTGCCTTCTGACTCACTAGGATTACAGGCATGAGCCACCAGCACCCAGCTTCTTTTTTTCTTTTCTCCATTTTTTTTTTTTTTTCCAATACTGGGGCTTGAACTCAGGGCTTACACCTTGAGCCACTCCATCAGCCCTTTTTTGTTTTGTATTTTTTCGAGACAGGGTCTCTCCAATTATTTCCCTGGGCTGGCTTTGAACTACAATCTTCCTGATCTCTGCCTCCTGAGTAGCTAGGATTACAGGCGAGAGCCACTGGTGCCCGGCTCCAATTTTAAATTTTTGACAAAGGCATTTTTCTTGGGTAATACTTAGGAAAGGCACAAGGACAGTGGCATACCTACAGATGTCCAGTCAGTCTGGATTAATAAAAGCTTTCTTTCAGCACTCACCTACGGACACTAGCAATGGTCTCTCTGTTTTTGAAACGACTGAAACGGGCTATGTAGGTTAATGTTTTCATGAAGACCTCCGAGAGTTCCTGTTCGTCCTCTGCACTCTCATTCTGCTGCTTTCGATGCTCCAGAAGCATGTGAACTTCTGAATTCAGAAGTGTCTCTGCTGTTTCAAACTCTATTTGTGAGAAGAACCAATGTCAGCTGAAAACAGCCCTTCAAAAATATACTTACAGGGGCTTTTGTCTTTACTTCCACCACACTTGTTTACCACACACATGAGCAATAAAATTCATGACACACTTATATTTAGCTCATTGGGGATAGACATTTTCCAACATCAAAGAACCTGACGTGGACAAGCTAGTAAATGACGCATCGTTTTTCTAATTAGGCCAGTAACTGACTTCAAGTTAGAGCACATCAGCAATTATTTTCCTGTATATGCCACGAACTTACCACCTTTTAGCTCCATAATGCTAACATTGTATTTTTTTCTTGTTTTTGGGGACAAGTTCTTACTACAAAGCGCAGGCTAGCCTCCAACTGATGATCTTCCTGCTTCCACTTCCTGAAACCTGGGATTATAGGTGGTGCCTATTATAAGCAATTTTAAAAGTAGATTTGATAAAGAAACCCATGGCTTTCTATAATAAATACACAGTAATCTTTTTCTATATTTCCAGAGTAACACTTTTTTTTTTCAGCAGCACTGGGGTTTGAACTCAGGGCCTCATGCTTACTAGGCAGGCACTCTTAACGCTTGAGCCACTCTGCCAGCCCTCAGAGTACACTTTTTAAAAGGCCATCATTCCCTTGAGAAAATCATTCTTCCTTCCTTCTCCTTTTTTATTTACCAGGAAGAATTCTTACAGAATATGCTCCTAACACTTAAAAGTATTATGGAGGTGTGGCTCAAACAGTAGAGCATCTGTTTTGCAAGTGTGAAGTCCTCAGTTCAAACCCTACTCCCACCAAAAAAAAAAAAAAAATCAAAAAAACAAACCCTGAAAAATTAAAGCATTAGAGCTGCACTTTATCTAACTTTTCCTTTCTAGCAAGTTCCCCTAGAATAGGAACCATTTGATAACACAAACTCACATTTATAATCCCATGCTGAATGGGAAGCAACAGTGAGGAAAATCCAAAATTTCTTGCCATTTGCCATTTACAAGTGACACAGGTAAACTTACTACTGGGGAACTACTAATACTAAGGTATGCATCAGAGGCATACCTTCCCATCCTTGAGCTACTGGGGAACTACTAATACTAAGGTATGCATCAGAGGCATACCTTCCCATCCTTGAGCCAGGTGACATGAGCTTCACTGTCCTTTCACAATGTGGGCAGACTATGAGAGGGAGGGGGTCAGGTAGAAAAAGTATTTTTATTTGATAGGTACTTATTGCTACTGAAAATACTCTGCACTTAAAAGCTATTTTCCACCTGAGTGCAGCGGAGTTTGAACAAGAAAAACCACAGGAAATCTTTTCCAATCCATTAGCCAACACATGAACCACTTATGATGCACCCAAAACTTTTCCTTTTTTTCTTTCTTTTTTCTGGTAGCACTGAGGTTTGAACTCAGGGCCTCATGCTTGCAAGGCAAGCACTCTTATGGCTTGAGCCACTCCACCAGCCCAGCTTTTCCTTTTTTTCATCTTCAACCTGAGACCTTCAGAGCATTTGGCAGGAAACAAAAGGAACTAGACAAGGGGATCTGGAAGTTGCTTTTTCTTGTGCAGAAATGTAAAAAAATTATGGCCAGGACTAGGAGAATGGCTCAAGGGATACAGCACCTGCATAATAAGAGGGAGGCACTGAGTTCAAACGCCAGTATCAACACCAATAACAAAAGAATTATTTGTCCTTTAAAACATTATGACAGAGGTTGGGAGCATGGCTCAAGTGGTACGGAGCCTGCCTAGCAAGTGCCAAGTCCCTGAGTTCAAACCCCAGTACTGCAAAAAAAAAAAAAAACCAACAAAAAATGTTATGCAAGTTTATAGATTACACTGTCAATTTTGGGTAGTACTGGGGTTTGAACTCAGGGTCTTGTGTTTGCTAGGTTACAGAGGTGCACATGACTGTTGAGATGGGGTCTTGCTAACTTTTTGCCTCAGCTGGCCTCAAACTGGGATTCTCCCAATCTTACTCCCAAGTAGCTGAGATTACAGGTACACACCACAACAGGCCCACATGGTCAAATTTTGGTTGTAGGATGTCTGTAGAATAATCTCCTTTTTTTCTTCAGGGTTGGGGATGGAACATGAGTTTATGTGTACAGATTTTGTTTTTTTCTCTCTGTGCTAGGGATCAAAGTTGGAGTCTCATAGTTGCTAGGCAAGTGCTCTAACCCCGAGCTCCACCCTAGCCTCTATGTACACACTTCTGAATAAACATAAGGGTAATTTGTGAGAATAAGCACCGAATGTTTAGTTTCCTGTGAGTGAAAAAGATAGGAAGTTTCACTTTTTAAGACTGAAGAAGAGGCCGGGCGCCAGAAGCTCACACCTGTATTCCTAGCTACTCAGGAGGCAGAGATCAGGAGGATCGTGGTTCTACGTCAGCCAAGGGCAAACAGTTTGCAAGACTGTATCTCAAAAAAACCCTTCATAAAAATAGGGCTGGTGGAGTGGCTCAAGGTGTAGGCTCTGAGTTCAAGTCCAGAACCACAAAAAAAGAAAGACTTAAGAAGACTGCTAAGATTTTCCCTATTTATTTTGTATTCTTCAGTATTGTAAGATATACTTTAAAATGTCAAACTTCCTGCTACTTTTGGCTTCTAATTTAGAAATAATGTACATCCCACTACAGAGAAGAAACAACCTGACAGCCAAGTGTGCTTTAACTGCTGATCTCTGACAAAGAGTCTCTCCTTTACCAAACTCCAGTTAAGTTCTTCTGGTCCTTCTCCACTAAGCTTCAACGTTGGTCCATAAAATTTGAAGGAAGCCGAGTGCCAGGGGTTCACGTTTGTAATCCTAGCTAAATGGGAGGCTGAGATAGGGAGGATTGTGGTTCAAGGCCAGCCCAGGCATCTCCAAAATAACCAGAGCAAAATGAACTGAAGGCATAGGTTAAGCGGTAGAACGCCAGCCTAACTAGCAAGCATGAAGCCCTGAGTTCAAATCCCAGTCCCAAACCCACCCCCCAAAAAAAGATCTGATCGAAATACTAACATGGTTTCTAATCGCACAACACCGCATCTCTAAATGGCTCTCCTCACCCGCGCGTGCTTGAGAAAAAGCTGCCAACAAATTTTTGTTTATTCCAGCCAATATCCACAGGGTCCCTATCAGTCTCTGTAGGACAGGAGCCTAGCCAGTTACCAGTCCCATGTGGGTTTCACAAGGACCAACCCTCTCCTTCTCCTTTGCTAATTCTTCACCTCCCTGACTCTCCTGGGCCCTCGCTCACCCTCCTCTATCCTCTCCTCCCCCCTGTAAAACACCAGGAGGTTCTGTAGAAATCGAGAATGGGTTCAGACCGCAGTATTACTGATTAAAATCTGTTCCGACAGATTTTAATTAGCGTTTATCTTTGACACATACGTCCGGCACTTTGCAGTTTGTTAACAGATAAACAAACTTCTGAACATGATAGCAAGAGGCCGCCCTGAGACAGCGGCCATTAGGATGTCAACGGTGCGGGCACTGAGCAAGCCACGACAGGGTCCACCTGTGCACAGGCGGTTTTGAGCCAGGCGCGGATAACGTCCAGCCTGCGAGGACCCCGCCTGGTGGCGGTGGAAATCGAGCAGTCCCGGGTCCCACCTTTGGGAAAGATGAGCTGCGAGGCATCCTCCTCTACGTCGCCCGCCCGAGGATCAATGCCGCCCGCCGCCATGGCTACAGAGCCCTCAGCCACCGACACGGTCGGAAGCGGAAGCGGAGAGCTGCCGCCACGGAAGGGGCGAGGTCTGGGGCGGGGCCTGCGGGGCGGGGCCTGCGGGGCGGGGCCGGAAAGGCACCTGAGCGATGCAGGGAGGTTGCGCGCTACCTGGAGGCGAGAGGGAATGGGGTTCCGCGCCCGTGGAGGGGCGTCCTGGCCCGCGGGTGTCGTGAAACTCTTCCATTACTCCATGCTCGTGCCCTGGGATGGGCTTTTCTAGGAGGAAGAGGATTAGGTGAGATTCAGGAATGCGCTAAATGACTCTAGAAGCAGGCAGTCATGGATGGAAAGCCGGGTAGGTGACCCCTAAAGCATACGGTGGTATTCCTGTCTTTCTTTTTTTTTTTTTGGCAGTACTGGGGTTCGACTTAGGGCCTTAGTTTTATGAGACATGGTCTTGTTATGTAGCTCAGGCTCATCTGTAACACACAATACGGACGTGACACCACGCCCAGCAACAATAAGTATTCTTGTGATTTGTAAATATAATTGTTTTTACAAAATTAATTGCTTTGTATCTAATTTTATAGAAAGAATGTATTGGATAAAATAATGAATACATTCGAGGCGTGGTGACACATGCCTATAATCCCAGACACTCCTGAGTGCCAGAGGTAAGAGAATGGATGGAGGTCGAAGGCTGACCTGGACAGAAGTGCCAGGCTCTACTTGAAGGCATGTGTGAAATCCTGAGTTCAAACCCCAGTTCCACCAAAAAAAAAAAAAAAAAAAAAAAAAAAAAAATATATATATATATATATAGTATTGGCAGAACTTGTTACTGTTTCACTGTGCACTGCTGCATAGCTTATCAGACTGTAGGACAGATGTCCAGGACAGTAGCACATGGTTATGCTACAGCTGGGTAGCAGAAGGGGCCTGATTTCTTTTACACACACACCCCAAGAAAGTCCACAGTTGCACAGAAAAGAAAAGAGTAACAATACAGTGATGTTTCACAATTGACTTGTCCACATTTTCATCCAGGAAGTCATTGTAAACACTATGTGCAAGGCTGCAGGTTAAAAACATGAGTTATACATAGAACTGTCCCAAAAAGTAGTACTCCAAGAGCTGAGTGCTGGTGGCTTATGCCTATAATCCTGGCTACTCAGGAGGCAGGGATCAAGAGGATCGTGGTTCAAAGTCAGCCCTGGGGAAATAGTTCTTGAGACCCTATCTCAAAAAATCCATCATAGAGAGGGATGGTGGAGTGTCCCTAGATGTAGGCCCTGAGTTCAAACCTCAATACCACAAAAAAAAAATGGAGACCAAGAATAGTTGCAAGGTTTGGCAAATGCAATAAAGAAAAGTGCTATGGAAAAATAAAGAGAAAGAGGCTGCTATTGTCTAAATGTATCTCTCAAAGATTCATGTTGGATGTTTAGTCCCCAGAACAGCCATATGAGAAGTGGTGGTATCTTTAAGAGATGGGGCCTAGGGCTGGTGGAATGACTCAAGTGGTAGAGTGTGTGCTTAGCAAGTGGGAGGCCCTGAGTTCAAATGACAGCATGCTCCCACTGCCCCCCAAAAGAGGTGAGGCCTAATGGGATGTCCTTAGATCTTGGGGATGTGCCTGTAGAAGGGATTAATGTAGTTGTCCTGAGACCCCAGTCCCTTTCTCTCTCTGTCTCTCTTCCTGTTTTGCCCTGTGATTTCTCCCTTTTGAACATGCTCCTACCATGATGACATATGGTGCCGTGTGTAGGAGTTCCTCAACAGAGCTGAGCAGACACTGGGCCATGCCCTCCAACCTCCAGAACTGTGAGATAAGTAAACCTCTTTCTTTCTTTTTTATGGCAGCACTGGGGTTTGAACTCAGCACTTCACACTTGCTAGACAGGCATTGTTATTGCTTGACCCACTCTGTTGGCATCTATCTTTCTTTTTCTTTTCCTTCCTTCCTTCCTTTCTTCCCTCCTTCCTTCCTTTCTCCCTTTCTCCCTCTCTCTATCTCTCCCTCCCTTCCTTCCCTTTATTCCCTTTCTCCTGGCACCCAGCTCGTTTTTTTTTTTTTTTTTTTTTGCGGTACTAGGAGAGATAGGGTCTCGAGAACTATTTGTCCGTGCTGCCTTTGAACTATGATCCTTCTGATCGCTCCCTCCTGAGTAGTTAGGATTACAGGTGTGAGCCACCGGTACCTGACTTTTTTTTTTTTGGTGGCAGGGTCTTGCTATATAGCAAGGTTGGCCATAAACACATGAACCTTCTGCCTGTGCCTTCTGAGTGCTGGGACTACAGTTGTGCACCATTATAGTAAACTTCTGTACTTATAAAAGTACCCAGCCTTAGGGAATTCATTCTCATAATAAAAAATAGATTAATGCAGAGGTCACTTCTGGTTGGAGGAGGTGAGTGAGGCCCAGAAGGGTCTGGGGAGGAGTTACAGTGGAGATACCTGAAACATTTAGTCAAATAGAAGGCATCAAGAATTTAAGAGGAATAGAATTATCACTCATTAAGGTAAATTTGTATTTCACCATCCTTACATGTTGTTCTTATTATAGCATTATTGGGAAATGAAAGAAAGTATGGTAATTATGCAGACATTGTACAAATATGGAATGTTTGCTATTACACATTTTTCATTAATGTTACTGTAACACATACGGTGAGAGAGGGAACAAAATTATATTAGTGAGTCTGTCTGAGGCGACTACAGGAGGCAGGAGAGGGAAAGAAATGTTATGAGAATGAAAAATTGAAGGCTGGTGGAATGGCTCAAGTGGAAGAGCATGCTGTTTAGCAAGCTAAACTGAGTTAAGCCCCAGTACCACCAAAAAATATATTGAAATAACCCATCTACATATAAATATAATGCACTGTACTGTAAGCTGTTGAATATTAGGGGAGCATGGCAATAGAGAATGAGTACCATGATTAAAGCATGGTATATACTGGCCTGAAGAACCACCAAGGTGAACCCCCCCTTGGACTATCAATATACACTTTAAAAAGAAATGAAGGGCATGAGGGTAAAAAAGTTATTTTCTGGGGGTTGGTATTAGTGGGAGATGGAAGGGCAAAAGGAAAGGGTAAATGAGAGTGATTATGGTGGATGTATTTTGAATCCATATATAAACATAGAAAAATGAAACCTGTTAAAATTGTTCTAAGAAGGGGGAGTGGGAGGAAGAGGGAGAATGATGGAGGGGGGCAAATCTCACTAAGATATATTGTAAGCACATATGTAAATATCACAATATATTTCCTGGTACAACTAGTAATATGCTAATAAATTTTAAAAAATAAAAAAGCTTACTGTACCAGTTTTTTAATCAAAAGAAAAAATTCCAGGTTTTATAAACTTTTAGAGTGCTTCTCAACTTTTAGTGAGTTGAGCTACTCAGTTTCCATGTGAATAAAGGTGTTTTCTACCTCTAAATAAAATGGTGTATTTGCCACAACTGCACATACTTAGAGTTAATGAACAGACTTCCAATTTAAGTTACTTTCCCACAAATTTCTAAAACTCTTTGACTCTTGCTGCAGAAGACTGATGGTACCAAGGAAGCCAAAGGAAGTAACAGATGACAGGTGATTGAGTGTCACTCACAGGTCACCCTCTCCTGTTATTTATTTTGGTGGGACTGGGGTTTGAACTCAGGGCTTTGTGCTTCCAAACAGGTGCTCTACTGCTTGAGTCAAAGCTCCAGTCCATTTTTGCTCCAGTTATTTTGGAAATGGAGTCTTGAGCTATTTGCCCGGGCTGGCCTTCAACCTCGATCCTCCCAATCTCAGCCTCCCAAGTAGGTATGATTACAGATATGAGCCACTGGCACCTGGCCAGCTAGTTATTAACGAAGTTAGTTATAAAGCAGCTATGAATGCAAAAGGGCCAGATTGGGGGGGGGGTGGTTGTGTGATTCTGCAAAAACCCTTCAATATCCAGGTATGAAAACCTCTAAACTCACTGGGCACATCTGTAATCCTGGCTACTCAGGAGACAGAGATTAGGAGTATAGAGTTGGAGGCCAGCCGGGCAACTAGTTAGCGAGACCCTATCTTAGAACTAGCCAACACAAAACAAGGGCTGGCAGAGCGGCTCAAGTGGTAGAGTGCCTGCTTAGCAAGCATGAAATCTTAAGTTCAAACCCCAGTACCACCAAAAACAAAAACCTTCAAACTCAGGATGTCCTGATTTCTGGACTATTTTTCTTTCTGGGCAGGTTCTGAGAATCAACCCAGGATCTCACACATGCTAGGACTTGTAAAATTATCTGGGCTATGACAGTATGACCTCCTGAGATGGCTTATCCACCCTGTCATCTGTGCCAGCAAGACACTATCATCTGCCTCTGAGAAGCCCTCCCTCAAGGTCATGCCCCATTTACTTCAACACTCACCGCTTTAAGGAAGCCTGCCCTGACACAAACAAGAAGCACCATGTCCTTTCACATGCCCAGGAAAGCTGAGGGCTCAACCTCTTGCTCCATTATTGCCATCCAGCCATTGTACTGTGTGCTGGGACCTGGGTAAAGAATTTCTAACATGTCACCTTGGATTTTTGAAGCCCTGTCATAAAGTGGGAGTCAAGACCAAGACTAGAGCTTAGGCCTATGGGACTACCAGCCTATGAAGATCCCAGTTGCCAGGGCCCTTTGCTAGTTCTTTGATTAGAAACCAGGATAAGAATCGATGAACAGCCATACTGGGGTGCATGGTGGCGTGTCTGGTTGGCAGCAGGGACTTGAGTGATTGGCAGAGTGCACCTGAGATCACTCTCCGGCTGTTTCCCCTATTTTGAAATGCGGTTTTCAAATTGCCATATAACTTGGCATATAAAGCCTGTATGTAATGTTAAGGAAGGGACATGACTTGCATCATTTCCCTGAGGATGCTTCTGTGGTTCTTTGTGTGCTCTTGGTTCAGAGTCAAGCCCCTCAAGCAGCCACTGGATGGTATTTCAAACCCAGACATTCAAGCAAGGCCACAGACTGATCTCGAGGCAAACTTAGAGCCTCCACACCCCCCCTCCAATAACTAGTACCACCTATCTGCCCAGATGGAGTACTTCACATTTCAAGAGAACAGAGATACAGCCAAAACAGCAAACTTTGTCCCATAAATTCCTTCCCCTCCAAAATACAATGACTGATGAGAAATCCCATGTTGTTTAACTATAGGCACTGCTAATAAGTAATATAATACTTAGAACACTAATTTTTTGTCTGGTACTGTGCTCAGGCCTACACCTTGAGTCACTCCACCAGCCCTTTTTTTGGGATGAGTTTTTTTAAGATAGGGTTTTATGAATTATTTGCCTGAGCTGGCTTGGAACCACAGTCCTCCTGATCTCTGCCTCCTGAGTAGCTAGGATTATACCTGTGAGCCACACGTGCCCGGCCCATTAATTTCTCTTGAAATTAATTCCTTTTCACACACACAGAAGTTATTATCAAAGTCTGTAAATGTTTAACTACCTGCTATTTACAAAATTACCATGTAACTATGACAGCATGTGGTCATGTTTTTGCCAAAAATAAGGACCTTAGAACCAGGTATTTTATTTTTTATTATTCATATGTGCATACAAGGCTTGGGTCATTTCTCCCCCTTGCCCCCACCCCCTCCCTTACCACCCACTCTACCCCCTCCCTCTCCCCCCCACCCCCTCAATACCCAGCAGGAACTATTTTGCCCTTATCTCTAATTTTGTTGAAGAGAGAGTATAAGCAATAATAGGAAGGAACAAGGGTTTTTGCTAGTTGAGATAAGGATAGCTATACAGGGAATTGACTCACATTGATTTCCTGTGCGTGTGTTGCCTTCTAGGTTAATTCTTTTTGATCTCACCTTTTCTCTAGTTCCTGGTCCCCTTTTCCTATTGGCCTCAGTTGCTTTTAAGGTATCTGCTTTAGTTTCTCTGCGTTGAGGGCAACAAATGCTAATTTTTTAGGTGTCTTACCCATCCTCACCCCTCCCTTGTGTGCTCTCGCTTTTATCATGTGCTCAAAGTCCAATCCCCTTGTTGTGTTTGCCCTTGATGTAATGTCCGCATATGAGGGAGAACATACGATTTTTGGTCTTTTGGGCCAGGCTAACTTCACTCAGAATGATTTTCTACAATTCCATCCATTTACCTGCGAATGATAACATTTCATTCTTCTTCATGGCTGCATAGAATTCCATTGTGTATAGATACCACATTTTCTTAATCCATTCGTCAGTGCTGGGGCATCTTGGCTGTTTCCATAACTTGGCTATTGTGAATAGTGCTGCAATAAACATGGGTGTGCAGGTGTCTCTGGAGCAACCTGTGTCACACTCTTTTGGGTATATCCCCAAGAGTGGTATTGCTGGATCAAATGGTAGATCAATGTTTAGCTTTTTAAGTAGCCTCCAATTTTTTTTCCAGAGTGGTTGTACTAGTTTACATTCCCACCAGCAGTGTAAGAGGGTTCCTTTTTCTCCGCATCCTCGCCAACACCTGTTGTTGGTGGTGTTGCTAATGATGGCTATTCTAACAGGGGTGAGGTGGAATCTTAGTGTGGTTTTAATTTGCATTTCCTTTATTGCTAGAGATAGAACCAGGTATTTTAAAAATCTCTCCTTTCAAGTAAGAATTTAAAGATTGATAATCCCATTATGTGAATGTTTTCATGCTAGATAAACGAATGCCTTTTTTTTTTTTTTTGGTGGTACTGGGGCTTGAACTCAGGGTCTACACCTTGAGCCACTCCACCAGCCCTTTTTTGTGATGGGTTTTTTCGAGGTAGGGTCTCCCTGGGCTGGCTTCAAATCAGGATCCTCCTGATCTCTGCCTCCTGGGCCCCGGCTCCATTTTTTCTAAATGCGTATCCTTTCTAGGTCAGGTCAGGTTAGACCCCACTACTACACTCCAGCATCTTTGCTTGAATTAATTAGCAACACCAATGGTAACTTTCCGAAAAGGTCAGTTTTAGATTATCTATTTGTGGTATTGGGGTTTGAACTCAGGGCCTTGTACCTGCTAGGTAGACTTTCTACCAACTGAGCCATGCCCCTAAGCCTTCATTTGGCAATCTAATGAAAACAATGAATCTTCACTCTTGAAAAATCCTACTATTTCAGGCAATTCAAGTTAGCTATCTACAATAAAGAGACAGACAAGAGTTTTTACCCATTATGATTTATTCTCTACAATACTTCGTTAAAGAGTTCAATGATTTGCACTCAGAAGTTATATAGCCAAGAGGCAACCAAGTGTAATATAAAGAATTGGTCTGAAGTCTTTGCACTAAAGGCCATAGAGTCTCTTGCTTCAGGGAAATAAGAATGTAAATAAACAAAAGAACATGTAGCTCCCTAGGCTTCAGAAATCTTAATAGAAAATAACAGCAACAGTTAGTGAAATTGTAGATGTTAACGTATCATGGAAAACAGATCTTGTGCGAAATATTAAAATTAACACCCAGGACTTCGTCTAGATGATTTTTATTATAAACAGTGAAATATATATAATGTCTCAACTGCAAACCTTTCATGTGGAAAGGGTCCCTAACATGAGTTGTTTTAATATTATGAAGAAAAAAGTTTAAGAACCTCACAGTGGAAACAACCCAACACTGACAAACTCTAGTGATCAATGACATTCTGTTTTACTTCATGTAAAACAAGGACAATTCATAATTACAGAGAGAATGTCCTAGCTGTGGGTATGATGAGACAAGCCAACTTTCCAGACCAAAAGGCACTCACAGCTAGGGATGAAACAAACTCCAAACCAAGCCAGCAAAGTTGAACTGGTTCCTTGACAACAGTGGTTACCTACTGTTCAGCTCGAGTGGTCCAAGGACAAAGGAAACACTGGGCAGAAAACAATCCCTTTCCTCTACCCACCACTCATTCAGCATGGATCAGCCACCCTCATCACTGCTTTGGTCAAGCGTGTGGGAGGCAGTTCAGTTCCAGTTCAGAGCTGTTACCTCCCTATGCAAAGCTGCCACATGGATGAGCCACCCGGTATTTTTCCTGAGAGCCACCTGCCACGCGTTTCCTTGAGGCGGCCATGTCTGTACACCTCTAGACTGCTTCCTAACTTGGCCCTGGTCAGAAGAGACAGCGATAGTGCCCATTCTTCCCGGGGCCAAACAGTTTCCCTTGGCTGACTCCTGAGTCCCCTTGACAAGGCAAAAGGAACCCGATCATCTCCATGGCTGGACTTGTGTGGGAGGATGAGGGAATGTGCAGGGAGTAAGGCTTCTTCACTCCAAAACCACTGAGCCTACTTCAGTGTGGTGCTGGGCTTCACCAGCCCGATTCTTGTGCACTGTTTTTTTTTTTTTCCCCATTTCTTGGGTTTAAAATTTTCTGTTCATTTTCTTAAATGGCAGGTATCCTACCCCACCCTTGATAAAATAAAATACGAACTATACATTGGGGAAGACAAATAGGGCAACGTCTCTACAAGAAAAATAGGCTTGAGGAGCATGGCACTGTAAATGCTTGCATGACCAGTCTCACTGAGCGTGCTCAGGGGTGAAGTTTAGCACCATTTTTTTTGCTTTTTTTAATCTTTAGAAATTAAACACAACTTTTAACATAGAACACTTGAACAGTAAGTGTAGCCCTATGTGTCAATACTGTTGCACAAACTGGAGATGGGTGGCTCAGCCCAGAGCTGACCACCCTGACATCAATCCATGGCACCTGAGAGTACCTGCTGTCATGTCACATCTGTCTGTAACACATTTATTATCCTCAGCAGCAGGAAGCCATGAGACATCTTCACCTATGTTGCCAGGGGTGCATGGCAGGCCAAAGGAACCCAGCCAGGCAGTGACGGGGCACAGCCTGGGCACTCTGACACCCACCCACATCTCCCCCATCCATCTCAAGTCCTCACCAGCAGCACAAGCTGCTCCTCTCACACACCCTATTCCTTCCTAGGAACTTGAAGGCAATGCCTAGAATAGCATGAGTGTCCCTTCTTAGATGGTGCCCGTGCTCCCACTCCTCCATTCCTGGCAGAATAAAACTCAAAAGATCTTTTGACAAGTATTTACCCATTTTGGAAAGCCACACCATCACCACATAAACTCTAAAAAATAAATTAAATCAAGACATATGTTCACTGGATTGATACCCAATCCATCTCAACAGTTCTCTAAGCATGTTGTGGAAAACCAGTGTATCATCCTCAGGATCCTTTCTTCCAGCTGGCCACCTCTTCCTGTGAATCACTTTAGCAGTGCCTTTGTGACAGTACTTTCAGAGCATTTCCCAAGTCCCCTGGCTCTATAAATTTTACCACCAAACAAGTGAAGAACAGACGAGAGCAGAAAACTTGCTGATGGCTATTTGGAAATCAGCAACAATGGGAAAGGAAAATATCACATGAAAGTTTCAATGACTCAGAGAAACATGAGCAATTTGGAAATTTGCCCTGATGAATATTCCCAGCATGGTTGGCAAGATAAAGATTCACCTTATTTAATCACACAGCTTTGTTCTAGAGTCCTAGTAAGGACTGAAATATCAACTGTTGTCCCACTTCTATAGGCAAACTAGAAAAAGGAACTCCGTTGCTTAAAGGTCTCTTAGGATGTTTGCTTGAAAACAAAGCCAGCTTTGAGACCCTAGATTCTCTCCTGTTACAATGTGTCCTCCTAAAACCCAACCCAAACACCTGTTTGCCCATCTTATGCTTCTGAAGAACCAAGATCCAGCTACATAGGCACTGCTACCAGAATTGGGGTGAGGTAGCCGGGTGGTGAGGAAGAGTTCTCTCCTTTCACACCTGCTCGCAGCGATGACACCAGGACCTCCTGTGGGCATCTCCATTCCATTCCTCAACAGGCTACACCACAGAGCTCTGTCCAACACCAGGAGACTCAGTGCAGGAAGAGTGCCAGAAAATTCAGCTCAGGTAGGGTGAGCAATTAAAACCTTCGAGGCTTACTGAGCAATGGGATCTGCAACGCCATCTGAAGGGCTTCCGATCTGCATGTGGGTCTCTGTCCAGGAGCCTTGAAGGGCTCATGGTGCCCACGTCCAACCCTAACATGGCGTCCACTTATGAAGCATGTAGGTTGTAATCAACTCTTGGTACGCAATAAACTGGAAGTTTAAAAAAAGGAATTTAAAACAACCTAAAAATGTTTCTTGTTGGACTCCGTTGCCCAGACTGCCAGGGGGATACACCTACTTGATGGGGAGGCCGTGGGCATGTGTGTGGGCACACCTTCATGCACCATCAATTCCAGCTTCCAGAGTGTGGCCACCACACACACAGCAAGTCACCAAACAAGGGTCTTCTAAACCCACACAGTAATTCTCACTGGTCATGGAGAAAGCCCCAATCCAATGGAACCCCATATTGAGGAAAGGCTGAGATAAGGCTTGGGCCCCTCAAGTTCTGTTTCATTCAATGTAACCCCACACCCCCCTCAGTCAGCGGGAGGCAGACTTGGCAACGGAAGCTAGCATCATAAAATGGTGCAGTAATAGAAGTAACTGGACCAGGAAGAGGAGGCATCTGCTCCAATGATGTCATAGCCATTGGTGGCCACAGGGGGGTGGGACTGGTCATGCAGCCGTGTGTCAGGAGTAATGATTGTAGAGGGGCGGGGTATGAAGAGTGCCATTCTGGAAACAGTGCTGTCGAGAAGCAATATACTCTGCATAACTGATTGTCACTTTCTCACTTCGGTACCTGTATAAGGAAACAGGCAAGCGTATCAGGAATCTCAAATATCTCATTTTGAAGAGTCACTCAGCAGAGAAAACCAAAAGCTTATCCCACATTTTGAAAGAATAAAATGGAAGACCAAGAGCAATCTTACTTACAGAAAATGAAAGACAGCACAAGAAAACAATGCTGTTATTACAAATGAACAAGATGAAAAAGCACAATCACAATTCACCCCTGAGAATGTATTTCAGCACATCCCACCTTTAAACACTACATATGCTTATCATCAGGCTGCTCGTAAGCAATCTGCTACTGGGTCTGGATGAAGTATTTCAAGGTCAAATTAAGGGTGACAGATTGGAAGATGGCTACGCCAAAACCCAGTGTAAACTGCACATCTACTTTCAGGTTAAAATAAGATAAATTTGACAAAAATGCAACCTCAATTTTAGAAGACCAACAAATGAGTTATTATAACTAAAAGGGGGCACAGATACCTAATTCTGGGTCAAATTCTGATGAAGCAGGTTACAAGATCCTTGGGCTATATAGAACAGGTCTTAATCCCCAGATGAGTATGCCATATTACAGGGTCATAAAAACAGAATTCATAGCACTTTGGCTTTGCTCTGGAAAGAGCCATGAGTCAGGATGCGAAGCATGGGGTGTTACAAACCTATGGAGCCTACTACAGACCACAGGAGCTGGGTGTGACAATCCTTACCCAGAGCCATCTCTTTCCCACTGTAATCACTCCTCCACTGCAAGGTGATTATTCCTGAATTTTGACAGGGAAATGGCTGTTCAAATAAATTGTAATAATAATAGTAATAATGCTTTGTATTTGAAGAGTGTCTTTTTTAAAATTATTTTTTGATGCTGGGGATGGTATTCAGGGCCTCATGCATGCTAAGCATGTGCTCTACCACTGAGCTACACCCCCAGCCCCTTAATTTTTGGAATCGAAAGCATTTAAAAAACACTGGGTTAATCTTCCAAACAGACCTGTGCAGCTAGTATAAGATGATTCAGCACTTTGCAGATGAGGGGCCCGATAGAGGGCCCACAAAAACTAACCTGTCAGTGCTTTCAATGTCAGTAGGGATGGGAAGGGCACTGACATCTATGATCACCTCTGATGCTGCCTGGCCCTGGGGCTGGAAACTCTCCATACATTACCTTACCACATCCTACAACAACCTGAAGGAATTACCACTCACATCTTACAGACAGGAAACAGTTCAGAGAGGTGGAATAGCTGGCCCAGGTCACACAGCTAGAATGTGGTTGAGCTGGGAATCAGACTCCAAGTCCATGTGAATTCTATGAAACTAAGTAGTCTTCCCACAGAAGTACTAGCCCCAAAACGGGAGGTGTATCCTTTTAACTTCTTATAAAAACCATCTCTGACTGCCCTGAGGTCAGGAGAAGCTCCTCAACTGACCCTGGGTCTCCACACTGGGAGCTTCCCTCCTAACTTCGACCTTAGCATCCTTGCCTCACTCAGCAGGCTTACTCCTCCTGCTCTGACCCCACTGTCAGCTCAGGTTGCTGGGGAGCCTCTGCCTTTGCTGCTGTTTCTTTCTTTCTCAGCCTTAAATGTTACCCATATATACATATATACATACATATATATATATATATATATATATATATATATTTAGCTTAGGGACATTAGCAGAGAAAACTTTTTTCTTTCCCTTCCCATCAAAAGTATCTTCTATCCAACTGCCCACTAAAATGAAAATAACAAGGAGACAGTGGCTTACCTGGTGAGTTTGATTGATTTTCTGAATTCACTGGTAATTGGAGCCTTAAAGCCACCTTTCCTGAGCAGGGAGTCTATTGTTTGGATCTGATCCCAATCTAAGGAGAACAGAGGCCACACTTACATCAGCACACAATCAAGTAAGATAGGGGCATACTTGAATACAGCTAGTATAGGTCAACAAATGGGATTTAAGAAGCAGAGCAGCCAACTGTGCTGGAGCAGAGTCCTTGAGCACTGGCCCTACATACGCACATTTGCCTCACAGTCAAGTGGAGACTCTAAGATGTGACATGGCCCAGTATGTGCTATGATGGTTGTCTGCAGGTTCCCTGCTCCTGCATCCTTCCTTGTGGGTATTACCCCGGTATAATTATGGTTCCGAGTTCACCCGGGATGCGCCGTGGGAAGCGTGGGCTCATTATGTCATCAGGCTGCCCTGAGCTGCCTCAGCCTCCCGAGTAGCTGAGATAATAGGTATGCTCCACTGTGCCCAGGGAGGACAAAGTGGATGTTAACCTCTGCAGCTTTTACTCCTTTGAATGGCCCTCCTTCAGCCTGATGACTTCTCTAAGTCCTGTTCTCTACGCTAGAGGACTGAGAGCGGGAAGGAAACTGTTACCTTAGAAGGATGGAAAAATGTATAAGAGTCAGTCTTATACATTTTTAACAGATAAAGTTAAGTTCATCAAAAGGAAAAAACAACTCCCCCCCCCCACCTAGATTACTGTATGAGATCCCTACCCCCTTTATGTTTTGTGCTTCTGGAGTTTGAACTCAGGGCCTTGCACTTGCCAAGCAGGTGCTCTACCACTTGAGCCAAACCCCCAGCCCTTTTTGCTGTAGTATTTTTCTAACAAGGTCTAGCATTTACGTCCAGGCCAGCCTGAACAACAATTCTCCTATTTATGCTTCCTGCATAGCTGGGAATACAGGAGTGTCTCACCACTCTGATCATTCCAGGTTTTACTGATTGAGATGGGGTCTCATTAACTTTTTTCTCTTGAACCAAGATCCTCCAGAGTACTTACAAATATAAGCGTGAGCCACCACACCTGCCCATGTAAGATATCATTAACATCTCACTCTGAAGAAAGCATTTTTGTTCCTGGAATGGAAGTTTACTAGATTTATGATCACACAGAAGTGGCTCCCTTTTTTTTTTTGGAGGGGCTGGGGTTTTGAACTCAGGGCTTTGCACTTGCAAAGCAGGAGCTCTACCATTCCCGTTGCTTTTGAAAGAACTTACACACAACCACATTGGAAGCCAATAAGGCAACTGCTTTCCACATAATTAGTTCATTAATATACTTAACTGGGTATTTTTCTCTGTTCCAGGTTTACACCCAACAAATACTGTGTTTCACATAGTATTTTCAAGAGACTTATTCCAAGAAAGAAAGAAAATGGGGTTACATACCACAGAAAGCAAAAATAAACATTTAAGGGTATTCTAGATGTTCTTTTGAAGATAAACCCTGCCCAGACTACTTCCTACCTTTAATGTCTCCATTTTAAGAACTCATTAACTACCGAGTTCATTAAAAATAGTAGGAGAATGTTCTGCCCTTTGCCAAGTGTAACACTGTCTAATGATTCGTGATCAAAAGTCCAGCACTCACTGAAACAGGAGGCTTGCCTTTATAATATGAACACTACAATGCAGTTAGGCTGATGGCTGGAATTTTGCTGCTATTACCACAGTAGCTTAAAGGGCCAGGAAGTAAAACTATTCATTGAGAAGTGTATGCATTAAGCAAGCAAGCAAGCAAGCAAGGAAGTGTTTTTCCTTATTTCTTCCCAGCTCCTAGGTTCTTCTGAGAGTTTATCCTTGACCTGTAAGAATTTGACAGGTATTAAGAAACATTCATTCTTAGTGACACACTGCACTCCCTTGCCCTTTAACTGGCACAGCTGTAAGAGGTACAGTTTTCTTAAATGCCATTTGTCCAACTCACCTTGTTCCTTAGCAACCTCAGGTAAATATGTGGCTGTGCGTTTGACACCTTTTTCATTGATGAATTCAATACGAATCCCATGGACCCCTACCTATGGGAAAATACAATCAAGTAAATGGCATTTACTTATTCTAAAGGGACTCCAGTCACCACATATAAATTGACACTGTCCTCTGACCTGCTTGACCCAGATTTGGGAGAAGGAGAATTTCTTGTTTCCCATGACTAACTCTCTCAAGTATAGAGGGCAACTAAAGCTCAGTTTAAGGGAAAAGTCAAATGCATGTGTAGCCAGCTCTCTGAGAATATGAAGCTTGTAAAAATTAATTCTTTAAACACCTCACCCAATAATTTTGAACATTTTACATTTAACCTGTTCTAAATGAACATGTCACAAGGTTAATACCTCAGTTCATTATCCTGATGCCTTTGGTTCTTTTGCTTTTTAAGACAGGGCCTATGTAGTCCAGGCTGGCCTGCAACTTTAGGCTCTGCCTCCATGCCTTCCTTCATATCTGATTCCTAATATGTTTTCCTCAAGGGCTTGCCAAGGAGGATCTGGAATATTTTGTTATCCCATTATTTATTTTTTGGAAGCACTGGGGTTTGAACTCAGGATCATGCCCCACCCCTTTTTGCTGTAGGTATTTTTTGAATAGGCTCTTGTGCTTTTGCCTGGGCTGGCCTGGACTGTAATCCTCCTGTTTGTATTTCCTGCATAGCTGGGATAAAAGTGTGCACCACTATGCCTGGCTTATTAGGGTATCACTAACTTTTCACCTGGGTTGGCCAGCCTCAAACTGCAATTCTCCTGATCTTTGTGTCTCCCGAATAGTTGAGATTACAGGCATAAGCCCCTGTACCCAGTCGGTTGTCCCATTATTTTTTTGCTAGATATGTGAGGAAGATGTAGAACAAAGTGGACTGGGAAGAAATGGGAGCAGAGTCTTTACATTATATTTCTTACTATTTCTAACAGAGCAGCACCATTTCTGTCACACCTATGTTGCCCACAATTGATTCCAAACTCAGCTTTCAATCTTAGACCCTCTCTCAATGAAGGAGATACATTACCATGTACTAACCCGAACCCAAATGCAACGAGAGATGCAGAGTTCCAAATGCAGCTGTTCTCACCTCCCAGTCCAGGTAATCACTGGCATCCTCAAAGTTAGTAAGGAGGGAGACAGAGCAGAAAAGTTTAGGCAGCTCCTCTCGGGTCAGGGGGGAAATCGGCTGTCCTTAAGTGCGCTAGAGGGGGACAGAAAACATAAGTGAGGCTGCTCCAGAGTTGGAAGCCAACACTGCATGCCACAGAGCCCACATAGCTATGAGTCTAAGTCCTGAGATACTCAAGAGACCATCTACCATCCATCAACACTAATATGAATATTAACTGCTTACGTAGGAACTGATAAGTGACTCATCAGATTAAAGTCCTTCTATTTCCTGACTACCAAAAAGGGACTGCTCAAAATGTATTACTTAGAAGAAATGAGGTTAGGCAGTTGTTTCCAATTCTAGCCAATTTATGTATGTTTTTAATGTTTTTGTCATTACCTGGTTAACGTGTATTCCCTGAGTCCTGAATGAAGATTCATGGCTGAGAAGGTCCCAATGCAGCCACGAAGCCGCTTGTCCCGCCCTGTCTTCCAGGTCACAAAGAGTGGACTAAACAAAGCAAAACACAAAACATTCTCCAGCCCCAGATTAATCATGGATAATGTTCCTGTTCATTTCTGTTATTCCCCAAGGAGATTTTCTGAATTGCCAGCTACCTGAAGAACTCAGCCTTTCTGAAAACACAGGAAACCTTTACAAGACAGCAGGAAGAAAGGCTCTCAGTGTAGCCTTTCCTGTGCTCCATCCTTAACAACTTTAATTTACTTTGAAACCTCATTATGGTATCTCCCTCGCCTGGGACTCAATTTCCCCTTTTCCTTCCTTTTTTTTTTTTTTTGGAGACAGGGTCTCTCTTATGTAGCCCAGGCTGGCTTTCAACTCAAAAGACCTTTCTACTTTTGCCCCCAAGTGCTGGGGTTATAGGCATGCCACCATACTCAAGTCTTCCTTCTAATTCTCCATATTTTCCTGTCCTTACTCTGTTTTTATGAGTATCCATGTTACTTAGCTCCATTTTTCATGACAACACACCTTGCCTGTATAGCTCTGCACCCACCCATCTGCAAGCCCCACACTGTTCCCATAATTTTAACCACCCCTGGCAAACTACAAATATTTCCTACTCATGGATTTTCAGAAAAGAAAAACAATGCCTTCTCAAGAAAGTGTTTTATTAGCACAAGTTGCCATTTCTGTTCCTAGGCCAAAGGCATGCTTCACTAAATTATATCAGACTGATGGTGACTATCAGGACTTTCCCTTTTCCTGAGATCTCTCCATACTCCTAACACCCTTACCTGTTAAGACTCTTGAGTTAATGACTTCTCAAAGACAAATTAAAGTTGGGAGAATGGCTCAAGTGGTAAAGTACCTGCTTAACAAGTGTGAGGGCCTGAGTTCAAACCCCAGTACCAACAAAAGTAAATAGTATCATCAAAGACAACTGAAATGTTCTAAGTTATCTACATCTTTGGTCTCAGAAGACACTCCACCTACCCATCATTTCCTTCTGATAATGCACTTGCAGTGTCAGCCAAAGCTACTGTTCCAAATTTACTCAAAAACCCCACAAGATCTCTTACCCATGGGATGAAAATACAAAGCCCTAAATATAACAGTCTTGAATACATCTTATCCAGGCTCAGAATGTCCACCTGCTCAGTTGGGAGTTTTCTGATCACAGTACCCACAGCAAGGATCCCCTAAGTCAACCTATTCTTTTCCACATTTCCTCTCCTTGGACACACACATTCAGAGTAACTTCTCTGGTTTTTTGTTGTTGTTTTGTTGTGTGTGTGTGTGTGTGTGTGTGTGTGTGTGTGTATGTATGTATGAGTGATGTGCCAACTGAACAGTAAGGCTCCTCAGGGCAAGAACTTTTTCTTTATGCCCACCAACTCCTTGCCCAGGGTTTTGCATAGCTTCAGTGTGGCATCAATAGCTGAGGAGCGAATGATCTCAGATAAATGAGTGCTCCAAAAGCACTGCCTTAAAAACAAAACACCAAAAGCATCTGTGGTCTTCAAAGCCAGCTCAGAGCTGCCTCCAATTCTGACGACGACACTGGCAAGGGCTTCTTCACTTTACATTCTGCTTTATAGATATTTCTTATTGATGTCACTGACTAAATCTCTATAGAGGTCCTAGGACAAATGGTGGAGCCCTGAAATAAAAGCAAGAAAACTGATTCTGACTTTCTTGATGGGGTGTCAATGGCCCTCTGGGATCATCATGGGATCGCTGATGAACACAATGGAGGTGACTCTTGTTAAGAACATCAGCTCCCAATGAATGAGCGCTCTCGTCTCCAGCCTGACCCTCAGACACTACCAGTTCACTTGGACTTTCAACACTACCGGGGTCCCCAACGGTGTGATGTGACTTCTCCATAGGGCAAGTTAAATGACTTACTCATTGCCATGTGAGCAAACAGAAGAGCAAAGAACAAAGTGCCCATTTCTGGAACATTTCTTTAACAACAAACTTATCCCCCTTCCTTTAATGAATCCACTGACGGGTCAGCTTTCACTCAAGTGTGTACTTCCTCACGCAGGACTTTCAATCAACTGAATCCACTGAATGTTCTACGTACTATCTGGAGATTTCCCATCCTGCTCTTCCTATTACCCTTTGCTCAAATGATGTTATCGCTTTTTAAGTACAGGCCCTGTCAACAGAGTGGCCTCTGAAAGATGCCAATGTGCCCATTGCGTGGTCCCAGTGCCTGATTTACTCACTAGGGGTCATTGGTGAACCTAGGAAGTCGTGGCTGCGGGAAGCCATAGAGGTGACAGTAGAGCACATCGAAGCAGTAGCAGCACATCTCTGCAGTCACCACCAGGTTCTTAGTGGTGTTGGCAGGTCCATTGGGCCGAGGGAGAGGGCTCAGCGCTCCCGATGCGGGATTCATCCGTGTGATAGGAGAGTTTCCAGGTCCCAGGGTCAAGTCCGACACATTCTCCCGTCCACTGCTGCTGTCCACATGCTGGTGGTTTTGAAGAGGTCCTGAACTGGAGCAGGGGACAGTTGTGGACTGGTTCCCGTGACTGTGTGTTCCACTTCCAGATAACTTGGGCTTCTTGACCCCACAACAGCCTGCTGCCAACTTGGGCTCGAGTGGAGGAACACAACGTCTTTTTCCCATCCTGATTTGGTGCTCGTGGTCTGGAATACTGCAGAACCCTAACCCAAAGAGAACAGTTAAACACTGATTTGAATGGTTAAAAGGAGAAAACAAGCTGGGTACTGGTGGCTCATGCCTATAATCCTCTCTCTCTCTGAGACAGGGTCTCACTATGTAGCCCAGGCTGGCCTCAAACTCACAACAGCCTGCTTCAGCATCCCAAATGCTGGGATTACAGGTATAAACCACTGCGCCCAGCTCATATTCCTTTCTCTACCTAAAATGAGGCTCTAAATTGAGCCATACTATTTTTTAAAGAACTCCAGAGGAATGTTTTAGGCTTTTCCTTGTTAACCACATCCTTTGAGCATTTTCCTCACCACTAACATAAATCTATCTGTGCAGTTTCAGCCCTGGACAAGAATGAGGATGAAAAGCAGATGTCATTCAGAAAAAGGCAGGATCCTGTAACATAAAGCTCCCATCTGTCTGTCTTCTTCCAACCCCTCCCTCATTTTCTTTGGCTCCCCTTTGAACTCACTTCAATTTCTATACATTTCTATTCTTTCAAGACCCTTTCCAAAAATGTCTGCAATTTACTGGAAGCCTTTATTCACACGAATGACTCAAGCTTCAAAGTCCTTTTGTGAGGTAGCCATTTCTGCTCTGTCACAGCCAGGCAGAGACACAAAGACACCTAGCTTAACAAAATGCAGCATATGACATGGGCCAAGGGGCACAGTATCCCAAATCATGATGTCAAGGGGAGGAAGGGATATATGATTTATTTTTTTCCCTTGAAAGGTTACCAGCCCTTAATAGAATCAGGAAAATACACCCCCCCCCTCACCCCGCTATAATTGTTTTTTAAGCATTGCTCTATACAACATAGTATTTTGATTGTAAATTCTACAACCTTAGATAATTACATATCCATTTGCAATGTAATTATTTGTACACAATTTGTCACTTTAGGTTGAATGAAATATAAAAATTTTACAAATGTTATTTCTATTGTTCATATATGTTAACCTGTGACAAAATGCACATCTAGGACAATTCTAAGCAAGAGGAAAGTTGTAATAGCCAAGGAACAATAGCTGGCACACTTCAAATTCTGGCTTAAAAAGGGGCCTATTTTTGAGAAAGACTTATGAACTTGATACATTAATACTGCCCTCAGAGATTAGGTTGTTTCTGAGCATGGATATCATTGTCTTATTTAGATTGCTAAGAGAGGGAGCAGAATGTCTTGTTAAAAATGCTGCCTCCAGAGCCAGATGGCTTGAGTTCAAATCCTGGTTTTAATCTCTCTTGGACTCAGTTTCCTCAAAATAAGGATAGCAATAGTAACTGTTGCCTGGAGTTGCTAGGGGAATTAAATGAACTTAATATTCATTTGTAAAGGTCATAAAACAGTCACTACATTTAGCTGCTCTTATCATCTGAGCTATTTTTTTTTTCCTTTTTTGAGACAGTGTCTGGCTATATGGCCCAGCCTGATCTTGAACTTGCATTCTTCCTCCCACAGCTTGAGAATACAGGTGTGGCTATCATCTAGGTTCTTGCTCCACTGCTCCCCACTAGTAGGGCAACTCAAGGATGGCCAGGATTTAGCTGTGCACTCAGGCTTAGATCAGTGTTTGTACAGAGCAAAGGTTTCAATCAGGATTTCACTGAATCCTCAAAATCTTCAGCAAGGCAGAAAATGTTACATCATTTTACAGAGGAAGAAGAACCTCAGGATTAATAAGCAAGAGAACGTGCCTGGGACCACGATGCCACTACGTGGCAGACTAGGATTTGAACTACAATCTACCTGTCAGATTCCAAGGTTGGGTCTTCTCATTAAGCCACATGGAAGATAAGACCTGCCAATATAGTCATTGGATTCAGTCCCTTTCCTAAGAACATGATAAGAAAACAAATTACATTCTAGGGTATACTAAAAACTAATCTAATAGTTTACAAAGTTTGCCAACAAAAAGGCACCAGGGAAAAAAATAATCAAAACCTAAAGTCTAAAGCCAACACCTTAGCTAAAGTACCCACCCCCTGACCATCATTTGAGTCCACAATGGATGTCTCTGGCCTATGCTCTCATTTGACTCTACCTTGTATACTGTGGGCTTAGGAGACATGCCAGATGAAGTAGTAGGACTATCTCCAGAGAGCTGGTATTTCAACAAGGCCAACAGAGCCTTGAGGCTCTGTCTCTAGAGTCCCAGAATTCAAAGGATCAAAGAAAGGGGATGAAACATTAAGTTTTTTTTTTTAAACCTTTCATCATTCTCATTACACCAAACCATACCTGTAGGAAAAAGGCCAACGTTATGATACAGTGGCAACAACTCAGTGGTTCCTAAGCAAGTGATAGTTACTAACAGGTAAAAGTCCCTGCAACAGAACAAGAGAGGATTTCAAAGCATATCAAGTACCTATGAACTCCAGTCTAGAAGACTGACACGTAACACACTCACTTATCTGCCGTGGAACAAGATCACAAATAACACCTATTGTTTTACGTTTACCAGTTCCCTCACATCCTTTCAAACTATGATTTCACATGGCTAGACCCAACCAAAATCTTGAGGCTCTTTATACTCAGGAATTTCTCCAGGAGGCTCCTAAGCAAACAATTTGACAAACAATTCTACTAAATCCAATTCCTGGCTTTAACTAGGTTTAATATATGGTCACTCTTTTTCACTTATGCTTAGTATGCAACACCTACTCTCTCTACCTTCTCTACTTTTACTGAATTATTTTGAAGGCAACTTTTAACAGAGCTGATATTTTACTTATCTGCCAACGTAAAACATGTTAACTAATCGACAGGTAAAGAACATAAAGTGAACTGGGGTGCTGACAGTAAACATCCCAGTCATTAACTGTTATCAATATCACCTATCATCTACCATTTTATCAAAACTTTCTCTTTGGGCTGGGTGCCAGTGGCTCACACTTGTAATCCTAGCTACTTGGGAGGTTGTGATCAGGAGGACTGAGGTTAGAGGCCATCCAGGGCAAAGAGTTCTCAAGACTCCCATCTCTAAAATAACCAGAGCAAAATGGACTGAAGTGTAGTTCAAACAGTAGAGTGCCTGCCTAGCAAGCATGAAGCCCTGCGTTAAAATTCCAGTCCCACAAAACAAAAAAAACCCAAAACACTTAATCTTTGGTCTGTGACTTTTCTAACCCTAAAACAAAGTAGGCATCTCATTACAACAAAGTAGCTCCAGACTCAGCCCCTAGGACTGCTCTACAATGATCAAGTCACACTCTGTGCTCCAGCAGCTCAGTTGGAGAATTCTGAAAATACCAGTTTAAGACACTTCAGAGTGAGCTGACAGAGTGTCTAGTAAACACAAGGCCCTGAGTTCAACTCCCTGTACCGCCAAGAAAAAAAAAAAGGTACTCGGGGTGTAACTCAATGAGATAGCACTTGCTTAGCATGCATAAGACCCCAACACTGCAAAACAAAAAAAACCCAAAAGCCCTCTATCAAATGACATAGTCTACCTCTTCTAAAACTGAATTTGTTCTCACCCATCCCCAAACTTCATAAAAACCCTGAGATAGCACACTGACCACAGTACAAATTACAATGAAGGTAGCTCCTCTGCAGTTAAGTGGACCCAGGCATAGAAATCCTTGCTTGATTAAAGCATGCACCACTGTGACCCTTTAAAGCCTTGGCTGGTGACTCGCAAGGTTACACTCCAGGGTCACATCAAGAGTCAGCAGCAGTGATCTCCTCTTCCTATGGGATATCCACCTTGTAATAATCAATGAGAACACAATAGTAAAAGCTGATTTCCACCAGATGGGAAAAATATCCTTACAACAACAAAAGCTGGGTAAAATGTAGTATTAGGGACCACTATTTTTCCTCCCAAGACCTCTTAACCTTGCAAGTGTCAAGTAAAGCTAAGTCTGCCCCCAGTATTCAAAGTCACTGCCCCTTCCTCAGTATGCTGCTGAGGCCTCAGCTTCCCTCTCCTAACAGGGTACACTTTCCCCTTACCAGACATATAACACTCAGGTTATTCATGACAGGGCCATGACAGAGGCCACCTGGCCATCACTCCTCAGGCTCTGTGAGGAAACTGAGCAGTGCTTGGCTGGGTTGTACCTGTGCTTTACCTCTCACAGCACCCACCATTGTGCCCCATGTATGATGTGCACGACCACAATAAAACTGCTGTCACCAATAATCTTATCTACAGATCTTCCAGTTACTGTATTAAGTTTGCCCTTTAAAAAAAATATAGACCACCCAATCTGTAGCTCCTTGGCTCCATGGTGAGCTGACCATGGAGTGTCTCAGAATGTGAGGGTGAGTGAATAACACAGTCAGATTAAATAGGTAAGTCTAAGTACCTATTCTTATCAACAATGCCAACTCAATTATTCAGCCCAAACCAATGGTTTAATAATTAAGCCAAAATGGGTAGAAAATATGGATACTTATAAAAAGTAGGTCAATTATCACCTAAATTCACTTTTTGGCCCAATTTATACTGGGAAGCTGTGGTCTTTCCTAAAACATACCCATATATAGGCAGGAAAATACACTGAAGAGAAAAGAACAAAACAAACAAAAACATACCAGTAACTGGTCAGTCTTGGCCATAGTTGGCCTTTGACTAGATGATACAACCTAAACTGCATTTAAGGGTCCCTTCCAAGGCTACTCAGTCCATTGAAAATACAGTATGCTGATGTCTTTCCAGAGCAGTTCCCATCTGCAGAGGGCAGAGCCTAGGCTTTGGGACCATAGTCTTAACTGCTGGCTCTGGCTCAAATCCCAACTCTGATGTGCAAAATCTGAGTGCAAACCTAGCAAGTCATAACATTTCTGTGAACCTGCCACCACAAAAGGTTATCTGTGAGTTATTCAATGAGTACGAAAAAAGAGCCTTGCCACAAACTATGTATTTTTTGCACATAACTAGTTAAGTGTCTATTAGTTCTAATACTATTTGTACCCCAACCAATAAAAGTACAGTTGGTTATAAAAATAACACAGCATTATTATTTCTAGAGAAATAAACACTCTCATAATACAGTTCTATTAACAGCTACCTTGCAATCTTAAAGAATGTGTTATTGGGCTGGGGGCAGGACAAGCACAAGGCCCTAAATTCAAACCCCAATACTACAGTAAATAAATAAAATTAATTCAATGACCTCATTATTCCTCTTTGGAAAGCAATCACTTCTAATAAACCACCTACTGCTTCATTTTGAAATGCCGAAAGACGTAATGAAAAAATATGGGGTTATCCGAGACGTATAAGAATTTTATTCTACTAGCCCTCATTTAAGCTTGCAGATAAAAAAGAAACCAAACTTGTTAAATATGCTATTGTTGTGCACATCTTGATATACACTGAAGACTAAAGGAACTACTATAGATTAAAATGTCTAAAAGTGGAAAAAACTTTAGATTCACCCTTTGAAAACAAGTCTCAAAATAGTTTATTGGAAGATAAAACCTTATAAAGATTTGGGAAGTGGGAAAGAGGCAAAGGATTTGAAAGGAGGTCTCTGCATGTTTCTTCTGTTATCATTTACTGTCCAGATGTCTGCTCAAATGAAGCCTTCCTAGAGGGAACAGGCAATTGTTTCCTTTGTGAGTTGAGCTGAAATTCAATTTAATAATTATATTATGGGCACTGAAATGGCACCTGAGCTGTAATTCTGGCCTACTTATGGAACTATTCCAGGAAACAGATGAAAACCCCACAAACATTCTGCTAACCATCCCAAACAATTATTTCTATATTCTTGAAACTGTCATGTATATACATATACAACACTTGATACATGAACATTTTCCGAGCAAAAAACAGATATATGTAACACACACTGGAATACAGGAGTTAAAACTTTTTAGACTCTTCTCCCCTTTCTATGTGACTTATAGCAAGGTACCAGATCTTTCTGGGTCTGTTGTTTTATTTGTAAAATGAAAGTATTTGTCACCTGCCTTCCTCACAGGGGGCTGGGGGGCTCTGACAAGATACAAAGCACCTGAAAAACTCTTACAAGTAGAAAAAAACATTTCTGGTAGCATACTGGGGATAGAACAAAGGGCCTCAAGCATGTTAGGCAAGTGCTCTACCGCTGAGCTATATACCCAGCATCAGCATGCTATCATTAATAAACCCAAAGAGCAGTTTCCCCCTAGAACTTTGCTTAAAGTTTGCATGTAGAATTATAGCTATTTTCAAGTCTGTGAAAGGATTTAATAATATCACCAAAGAAGACAGGGCAAAATGTTCTAAAACTACGTGAAGACTAAAACCATATGAATGAGAACTAACAATCGATAAGGAATTGCATTAACCTCTGAGTTAGTTAAGAATCAAGACAATCTTTTAGGGTGTCTTAAAAAAGTGAGTAATTTAGGTCTAGGGATGTAGCTCAGTGGTTTAGTGTATACCTAGCATGCATGAGGCTTTGGGTTTGAAACCCACTACCACTAATAATTAATAGAGCAACTTAGGAAGGGTGGGGAGCCAGACCTTACAGGCTAGAAATATAAAAGAAATACAGTGCTATACATACCATCAACTAGGTCACTCTAATGGTTTTTGTTTTGAATATTTGGAAGTACTAGGGTACTTGCTAGGCTGGCACTCTACCACTTGAGCCACTCCACCAGCCCTATTTTTTTTTTTTTTTCCCCCAAAGACAGGGTCTCTGTATGTAGTCCAGGCTGGCACCCAACTGGAGATCCTCTGCCTCAGCCTCCCAAGTGCTAAGATTACAGGTGTGCTCCACTATGCCTTGCTACTCTAATGCATTTATGGAAAACAAACTTGTCTTCAAATATTTATTTTTAAAACAAGCAAGTAGAAGAACTTCACCAGCATTACGACCACCTCACGGAAGTGGACAGGAAGTTTATTTTCTTGCAGTACTGAGGCGCAAACCCAGGGCTTTGCAATTGCTCTACAACTGAGCTACTCTTCCAGCCTCTCATGAAAGTAGAGAATACAAATGAAAAAAGTACACCTACATCTTAAAATCCGAACACAAGCCTAAAAACCAGAAAAAGCAACAGCATTTCATTCTGAATGTCCATAATACTCACTGAAAGCAGAAAGCTGTATTGCCAGAGGAACTGCTACAACAGAGGACAGAAGCTATTTTGTTTCTGGAATGGGTTTTCTTCCTTCCAGTTCCATTCCTTCTTCTTGTACCTAAGATGGAAATGCAGGTACGGTGAACTAAGAAAACCCAGGCAGTACAAAGGTCAGATCTGGTTTTTTGAAAAGTTACAACAGAACAACTTCTAGAAAAAGAAAACAGCTACAGAAGAGGATTCTCCTTACTTCAAAACATTTCCAACACTAAATAAGAGGCAGAAACAGCAGTCCCTGCCCCGAATCACCTCATCCTTAGCGTCATCACTAAGGGAGGACACTGAAGATCAAGGGTTGTACTGAACTTGAACATGAGACACATATAAAAACTTCCCCAAACCACCAATTTAGGTCAAAATTTGCTCTCAGGTCAGGCCGGATCATTTTGAGGCTCTCCTCTGGTTTCAGATTACAAACATACTCCTAAATCCTCTGCAAAAATAGCAGGGAAGAGTTAGTAGACAGCATGCCAGGGCCCTGAGGACAGGCTTGTTAAGCCAGGAGGGACGATAAGCATTGGTATCATCATCCATCCTTACTCCCGGTCTCGCACAAACCTCTTCATAAATCTTACCAACTCTCCTCATTCCCCAGTCCTAGAGAATACGCTATTCCCAAAGATGTAAACAGGAGTCCAGGCCCCACCCACTCTATCCCAGGAGAGGGGAGCGAAAGAGGATAGGCCCAAAGGAACAAGGGTGAGGAAGCTTAGCACCTAGAGGAGTCAGATCAGGACAGGGAATGGAGGAGAGCAAGAAATGAAGGGCAAAACCCACCCAAGAAGCACAGGCATGAACTCAAGAGTGTAGGATGGAGGGACATTAGATACGGGAGGCCAGGGGTGGATGGATGAGGAAGGAGGGACTCAGGGTGGGGTTGGAAAAAAAAAAAAAGAGGAAGAGGAGAAAGCGCGCGCGTGAAGAGTTAAGCAAGGGAAGGACGAGACTTGAGTGGAGAGAGGCGAGGACGGGGAGGGGCGAAGCACGCAAAAGAAAAGGTGAAGGGTGAGAGGGGCAGGAGAGTGCGGGAGCCGGGGGAGCGGGGACACCACAGAGCGACGGGTACAGCAGCTGGGGCCGAGCCGCGGGGGTGGAATCCAGACGCCGGGCGGGGGAGGGGGCGGCAGGACCGTGAGTGGGGGGCCACCAGGAGGCGCCGGAGACCACCAAACTTTACCCGGACCCGACGCTGCTTCCTGGAGCGAGTGCAGGCGCCGGGCTGCGGAGAGAGCCGAGCACAGCCTGGTCTCGCGGCCCGGGCCAGGGGCGGCCGTCCACCCTTCCCCTGTCCTGCCTGCCCTGCCTGCCCTCCCTGCTCCACGACCCCCGGCCCTCCGCTGGGACGCGCGGCCCAAGGCCCCGCCCGCCTCCTTCGCCGCTGGCCGGAGCCCCTCCCCCAAGCCGCCCCGGGACCCTTGCCCGGCACCCCAGGGATGCACTCCTGGGTTCCCACGCCCGCCCCGGCGTGAGCAGGCCCGGGGAGCCGCCGGCGGTGAACCGAGGGAGGCCCGGCCCGGCGGCGAGGGATGGGGCGGGCGCGGCGCAGTCCGAGTTTCCCACCTTTTCTCCTGGCCCAGACGCGGCCGGGACGGACGGGACTTCTCGCGCTCTGCCTTCTCCTTTTGCTTCATGGAGCCATGCGCCTGGGTGGGGGCTCCGAGAGAAGCGGGCCCGCAGGCGGGCCGGACGCGCGGCGCTGGCCGGGCGGGGCGAAGGAGGCCGGCGGGAAAGCGGAGGAGGAAGCGGCCGGGCGGCGGCGGCAGCCGGGAAGAACTAGAGGTATTCCCCGGGCGGCTGGAGGACTGAGTCGACCCGGGACCCGAGTCCTCCGGTATCCCAGCATCCACCGGAGGCAGTGAGGTAATGGAGGAAGAATGTAGGGAGTCCTCCAGTGGACCACACGCCCTCTAGCGAGCCGCGGAGAACCATAGAGATGCCGGAGCGTGGGAGCACCGCCCCCCACTACTGTCATGTGGCCTAGGTCCGCGCACTTTATTGGCTGGAGCCGACTTTACGAGATTGAATTTGAGAGGTTGCATTTGTGGGGCCGAACTCTAGGCAGTTGGGCAAAATAGGGGCAGACGGGCAAGACCGAGATAAGGCCAGCGTCCCTTGCGCCGCCTCGGCTGCCTGGCCGGCCCGCGCAGGGCACGCCGGGAGCTGTTGTCTGGGCCGGGTGGCCGTATCGTCGGCGCTGCTGCATGTGCCGCTTCGCGCTGCGGACTAGGGAGCCCCAGCCTCGCGGTCCGGCCATTCTCCACGTTAACTACCCAACGCGGAGCTGCCAACAACTTTGCCCGTCAAGCGCCCACGCTCATGTCATCTCGCCCCACGGGCTTGCAGCCATCGGAAGCAGGCTAGAAGGGGAGCTGAGACCAGCCAGGGACGAAGCAGACGCCGGCCAGGGTCCAGGCCCTCGGAGAGCGCCGGTACCTGGCCTCCCCAACCTCTTGATGTCCTGGAGAATGGCGGGCAGCTCGTGTAGGAGGCCACTCGTCACCGCCGAAGCCCAGCTGGCGATGACCTCAGCGGAATACCCACTGCACAGAATTATTCCATAGACAGACCATGCACGTTCTTCAGCATCAGCAGAGCAAGGGCCTCAAAAGAACATGCAAAAAAAAAAAAAATCCCCCCCCCAAAATTAGAAGTAAATAGTTTTAATTCCAGATGTTTGCTTTTGACATTTGATCTTACGGCGACAGTTTTTGCTTATTCTACTTTGTGTGTGTGGGAGGGGGCTGAGGATTAAACCTACAGCCTCGAACATGCTAAGCATGTCTTCTATTGATCTATACCTCCCCTCTCCCCCCCTCCCCAGCATTTAAAAAATTACAGACGCGGGCAGGCGGGGTGCTGGTGGCTCACACCTGTAATCCTAGCTACTTGGGAGGCAGAGATCAGGAGGATCGTGGTCCGAAGCCAACCTGGTCAAATAGTACGAGAAGACCCTATCTAGAAAAACCCATCAAAAAAAGGACTGGTGGAGTAGCTCAAGGTGTAGGCCCTGAGTTCAAACTGCAGCACCGAAAAAAAAAAATTGCAGAAGGGGATTGAATGAAGTCTTATTTCTGTCCTGCTTTCTTACCCTAACAGCTCCAAACCTTACTTGCCCAGGCTCTGCAGCAAAGGCAAGCCATGTTTTAAAGCAGTTTCTGCTTTGTCAAGTAAAGTGACTCCAGGACAAAGAAAACTGTGTACTGTTTTGCTTTTCTGCTGATGTCCAAGGCACCCTTAACATGTTTGTCCTCAGAGACCAAAATATCTAGTAAAAAAGTACAAATCGTGTCTAACAGTAAAGCTTCCCAGCAAAACCTGCTTTTGAATTCATAATGTATGAAAGCATAATAAGATCTCCTGCTGCAGACTTTTAGCATAACTACATGTGGGTTACTGGTAGGCAACTAAGCTCAAGGCAAAAAGAGTATTAAGTGTCTTTGGACAGGAGCAGACCCAGCAAAGGATGGCAGAGAAGGAAGAAAGACACACCTGTGCTTTATGAAACGAAAGGTGACTATTAAAACCAAAGATTTCCGTAGCAGTTTTCATAATTCCTGTCACAGACTTGATGTGCTTATCACTGTCAAGGCCACATTTGCCAGTTTCTAACCTCTGCCTGTCTAAAAAAACTACATATTAAATGATCATATGGCCTAGAGCCAGAAGTTCAGGAGGCAGAAAGCCAGAGACCTTTTTTTTTTTTTTTTTTCTGAATAAGAAGGCCAAATCCTGACTCAAAATAATCAAAATAAATTTCACATAGTGAAGGTCTTTCCAGCTGAAAGCCTTAAAACACAGCATCTGGAAAGAGGCCTTAGTCTATTGCTCCCAGGGTGGTTACTATACAGTCATTAAACAGCCCACAGACAGGGGAGTTATTGCTCCCTGGTTATCAAGCTGCCAGGAGGTAAATAATGGAACGAAGTTGGACTTGAAACACTCCCAAATTAAAACAAAACAAAACCTGCTTTGAGCTGCCCAAAGGCATTTTACTGAGAAGTAGGATCCAGAGGCTGCTGCTGTTTGTAACTGATGCTAAAAGGCAAAAGTCAGGACAGGAAAAAGTCAGTTTGAGGTCACCTCATGTCAGCAAGCAATGGTCTGAACTGATTAAAAAATAAACAATGCAAGTATGTGTTAGCAGGAGGAAGCAACAAGGGAGTACTTGGCATCAATGTGAAAGAGGCTACGACTTACTGATTTTATCTTTTCCTGTGTATAAGATAGGAACCTAATATGTTGTAGGCATACATACAACGGATGGGTAAAATAGCTGGGAAAGGGGAACTACTGAGGAATTGGGTAGCTCAAGCCCTTTTCGTGAACCTGAAATGTCACCTCAGTCTGCTGTGACGACTGTGCTGCTCATCAGAATCTTCACTCAAGTTATCTGCCTCCGTGCTGCACAACTTTCCATCGTTTCCAATGATTATGAGAGTGCACTCTCTTGGGTTGGGCTGGTGGAGTGGCTTCAAGTTATAAGAATGTCTGCCCAGCAAGTTTGAGGCCCTGAGTTCATACCTTAGTACCACCAAAGAGAGAGAGAGAGAGAAAGTTCATGGCCAGGTGCTGGTGGCTCATGCCTATAATCCTAGTTACTCCGGAGGATCAATGTTTGAAGCCAGCCTTGGCAAATAGTTCACAAGACCCTATCTTGAAATTACCGAACGCCAAAAATGGCTAGGGGAGAGTGGCTCAAGTAGTAGAGCACCTGCCTAGCAAGCATGAGACCCTGTGTTCAAACCCCAGTACTACTGAAAGAAAAAAAAGAGTTCACTGTGAAATCAGACTGCATGGGTTCAAATTCCAGTCCTGTCACCAAATGATATGTTAGTGGCTAGGCTTATCATTTGTAAAATGGGGATGGTTATGAGATTTAAATAATGCTATACATAATAAAACAGTTTAGGATTAGCATGTTAAAATGTTCAATAGCTGAGTTTTGTATTAGGAATTGAGATTAGTATGAAGTACTTTCACCCCAGTCATACTCATTCTCTTGGATTTGCACATTTTAAGAAAAATTTTGGTGGTACTGGAGTTTGGACAGCCTCACACTTGCTACTTAGGCACTCTACTGCTTGAGCCACTCTGCCAGCCCTTTTTTGTGTTGTGTGTTTTCAAGATAGGGTCTCGTAAACTGTTTGCTGGGGCTGGTTTCGAACCTCGATCTTCTATCTCTACCTCCTGAGTAGCTAAGATTACCACTGCCTGGCTTGGATTTGCACCTCGTGTGAGCACTGCATTGATGGGCTAAAGAAAGTGCCAACCAGTAGTAATGCAATAAAATTTCATAGGTGATACTGATGGGTGATGTATATTTTATCTGTCCCACTTCCAGGTTGACTTGAATATGGCCTTGTGCCCTTCACAAAAGGAGGCCTGGAGAGATTGTAACTTCCTCCAGAGGTGGTACCTGTCTTGCCTGTGTCCTCTATTATGGCGTACACTTGGGTACTTCAAAGGGGTGATCAAGACTTAGCTGATTAAAAGAAATCTTTGAATACAGATGTTTACGTGATTTGAGTGTTTTGGAAACAAGAAGTAGTTCAAGTACACCAAGAAGACCACAGTGCTTGGTTTCTGGGTGAGTTAAATCACATTACTCTGAGTAGACATATTCTCAAACTTCGGGTGTCACTTGAGTACACAGATTAATGCCAAAAAGTTTCTAAACTTCTTGGGGTTTTTTTGTTGTTTGCAGTACTGGAGTTTGAACTCAGGGCCTCATGCTTGCTAGGTAGGCACTCTACATTTGAGCCATAACCCTGGCCCATCTTCTACTAGTTTTACTAATGAAATAAATGAAACAGAGTTCAAGAGCTCAAGTCCCCCATTCATTTTTAAAATGTATTTTTGCGCTGGATGCCAGTGGCCCATGCCTGTCATCTAGCTATTAAGGAGGCAGAGATCAAGAGGATCCAGTTCAAAGCCAGCCTGGGAAAATAGTTTCAAAACCGTATCTTGAAAAAACCCAGCACAAAACAGGGCTGGTGGAGTGACTCAAGTGGTAGAGCACTGCCTAGCAAGCTGTAGGCCCTGAGTTCAAACCCCAACACTGCCAAAAAAAAAAAATGTATTTTTGTTTGTTTCATTTTGAAATGGGAGAGTCATGTAGGATGGGAGAGCCTCCACTCAACCTTGCTGGCATAGGTGTTTAAGCAGAGGGAGGGCCAGCATTCTGGTTTCTTGTCTCACGAAGCTGAAGAATGAACTTCACAGACAAGAGTGAGTAAAGCAGGAGAGTTTACTGAGATGGAAAAGTGTAAAGTGGGAGAGTAGAGCTGCCAGAGTTGAAGGGGTCCCAAGAGAGGTTGCGGAAAAATGACCTGGTCTGAGGTTTTTTTAAGCATTTTTCCAGGGTATTGCTTAATCTTTATGCTAATTAGGTGTGCTGAAAGCAGCATTCTGGTTGGCTGTGCCTGCAACGTTCTGATTGGTGGTATCCTAATCCCCATACTGTCCTTATTCTAGTCCATCCTGCTTTTCCTTTTTCCACCCCTTAAGGCCACAGGGAGGTGGTAATGGAAGTTTTCAAGGGCCTTTCTGTCTCATTTTTTTTTTGAGACAGAGTCCTCCTATGTAGCTTGGCTGGCTTAAATCTTGAGAACCTCCTGCCTCAGCCTCCCAAATGCTGGGATTATAGGCATGTACCACCATGCCCAGCTTCCCGTTCATTTTTTTTTTCTATAAATGTTCTCTTGTTTTGCTACTCTGCAGTGAACATTTTGTATTGCTTTTTGTTGAGCTATAAATACATGTGTAGATTTCATATATCTTAAGTATACAGTTTGAGAAAGTCTTACATTGGTATCCATCCATGTAACATCTGATTTATTATATTTCCAGCAGCTTGGACGACTCCTTGTGCCTTGTCTCAGTTACTGATATCCTCCTGCAGAGATAAATCATGGGCTGGGGTATAGCTC